GACGATTTAAAAAAGCTTTCAATAAGTCAATTTGAATAATGTAGGCACGGAATGTAGGTTTAATTTCATTTCAAGGTCGGTTTTTTTTTAATTATTCAAGACCATGGATACTCAGACCAAATAAAAAGTAAAGACGGAGTCTGCCGAACCAAAAAGTGAAGCCGGTTTTTTATGTATGTAGTGCATTAGCCAGTGTTACCATAGTCATATAAAACACCCCAATATTAGAAAAATGTAATAACGTTATTCCATAACGTTATTAATAACGTTATAAAATATTAGAAAAAAATATCGTAAGCTTATTCTCTAAACCTCTCGTGAGCCAAAGGTCATGCGCCGTTCTCACCTACAAGTGTCGGACTTCTTTATGGACCGCCCGCCCGTGGGTGGGAACGATTGCATTGTTCTGCCGATTTCTCTGTTATTTTGTAAAAATACCCTTCACAAACGTATATTTGGATTCTCCATAAAATTTTCAATAAAACAGTGTGTACACAATGCGTCATGTCTATAATTTATTATAATTATATTATGGTAAACTCAGGAAAGATAAAAAAAGTCGTTTAAATAGGTAAAATGAGGTATATTTTCAAAATTTGTAAATTATAAATCCAGGTTTTTGTACATATAGAATTTACTATATATAAATGAATGTATATAATAACTTACCAAATATAATTATAAAATATAACACGCAACAGAAAAAAAAGGGTCGTGTTTCAAGTGTTGATAAAAACAAATGCGAGATCCAAGTGCCTTGATTTATGTGTTGACGTTTAATTATGTTGGATTGTTTATTTTACTTTAGTTACAAGTCTCGGATGGAATAGGTTTGTACATTTTATAGTTTCAAGCACTCGCAACAAGGCACTTGAAATCGCTACCAAATCAGTCATCTCAACTTTATGTCGATAAAACGAAAAGCATATACAAATGTTGATAAACAGTTTCTTTTATTAAAATGTACATAAAATTTTCTATAGAATACACAAAATATAATCACTAGTTCCTATACAAGAACATAATAAAATAAATCCACAAACATCGCGAATTTTGGGTCAAAAAGGCCATTAAAAAGTAGATGCATCTTAAAACGGTGTGCACATTAGATGAGGCATTTTTCTAGTGTGCACAGTTGCGGTCAAGAATGAGTTTAAAATTAGCTAAGTACCAAATTAACATTATTTTTACTATTGTACTAATACTTTTAATGAACAATGATACTTAATTCAAGTATGTTCGCTTTAATTTAGTAGCATAATACGGCAAAATGGGGAAACTGAAGCAAGTAGTTCTACCACAACATGATAAATGGTGGGACTTGTACAAACAATAAGCAGTTAGCAAATAAATTATTGGAATCTTTAAAATATAAATTAATCTAAGTAACCATAATAATAGTAAAAAAAATACCTTTGGATATGCATTTTGTTTTACACGACGTAACCCTTTTGTTGTGTAGTACAAATCGTCGCTCTGAAAATGAGTCGAACAAACCACGCTGCGGGAAGCTGGTTGCCACAATGGTTCATTTCTACTCTTACGAATGACTGCAATCCACTTCTCTTTTAGATCTTGATCTCGATTAGGAAATCTTAAAAAAAACGTATAATATATAATATGTATTACATCCCAAAAAAATTATACGAATACATAAAGAAAAAAGATGTTTCGTGTAATTGTTTATCCATGCATTACAATATTCGAATAATATAAAAGTATGCCACACAATGTATTTAATAAAATAACGTTACGTTATATTTCACGCTACCCAACAAAAGGGTAAAACTGTAACGAATAATCATGGCAACATTTCGTTCAGGTTTTGTTTACAAAGCGACAACCTCAAATTTGATTTTGATTAATTGAAAATAGCAGTTTATAACTTTACTTACGTATGAAATGTGATTCCATCCTGTTTTTTATTCTTGGAAGATTGGTTTTTACACGTTTTCACTACACAATTCGGCATTTTCTCTAATAAATATTGTTATTTATTATTACGTCACACTCCGCGCGTCGGGATAGCTCGACTGAGAATCCAAGGCGTAGTTTCGTTGCATGTGTGTGCGTGTAACTGTGTATGTACACGGCGAGGCGTAGTTTTATCGGCTTCACTTTTTGGTTCGGCAGACTCCGTCTTACTTTTTATTTGGTCTGAGCATGGATACAAGTCCTTCAGTCGTATACATAAATACAAATCTTAATCTTCTTTTTTTATTCACATAAGAATGTCGGTGTGACTCATTCTAATGTTTCTTGGAGTGTTTGGCACGAAATGTATCGAGTTGGATTTTTCGATAAGCTTCTGTGAGGCAGTCAACATTAAAATAAAGTTCTCACGTCCACTTGACCGGAATAGCGTATATTTTAAAGATTCCACTAATTCTTCAGTTGCGCAGATGGTTCTAACACAAAATCACACCAATTTTATTTCACAATATCCACTATGAACGCATTTAGGAATAATTAAACTATGAAACTTACTCCATGAAATCCCGCCAAAAACTCCTTCAAGCTCGGAATACCCGTGGTCTTTCCAATTACCAACAGCTCGCCACAAAGTTGCCCGCGGGCTTATTATTCTGATTTTTCAGTTTTTTACTTATATTAGTCGGTACGTGAATTTGAGCATAACAGAGTTTTCTAGAATTAAACTGAGCTTATTAAATCAATTAGATTTTTGTGTTATATCCATGTTAAGTGAACAATATTAAGTTTAGGCTGTTGAACCTAAGGATCCTTTCTTTTCTTTTTCAAGAAATAATTAAAAAGTAGAAATGTCAAAAATGCCAAAGCGGGGTTGCCAACCGTACGAGATTTCTCGAACAAATACGAGATTTCTGATCTTTCGTACGAGGTACGAGAACATTACACATCGTATGAATGAGATTTTGTCAGATAAACTTATAACATGATTTTTCATTGTCGGCAACATGTTGGAGCATAAATCTTAAGTATCCAAATCAATCTATCTTTATTATAATTTTAAGCATTTAACTGCATGTTTGAATCTAAAGAAAATTTTACCAGAAAAACATTTCTTTTCAGTCTTTGGTTAGTTGCCCCGTTGTTATATATTAGTAGTTAGGCCTTTAATAATAGGCATGTTAATCGGGGGGCACGGCAGTGCCCCCGTCAAGTCGAGCGCGAAGCAAACACTGCCGTACCATCCTTTACTGGAACCATTTCGCCGCATTTTCGGGTCGCTATTTGAGAATCTCTGGATAAGACCAGAACGCAGAAATTATCGTCATCTAGTAAGTATAACAACATACTTAAAATCCAAAATTTTAGGGATCATCTAGTTAGTCACTCTAGGTCATTTAGTTTCGAAGTTAAGCGAAAGCAAAGTTTTGTATATATGACACACACTCACTCATGATCATCAGAATAGAACTAGTACTTCCGGTAAACTCAGAGAGCTGAAATTTGGTACAGAGTTAGGGTTTAATGGCCAAATAAAGGGAAAACTATAAAAACTAGGATAATCGAAGATCTGGAGTATCTAGTGACCCTGATTCGAAAACACAAGAGCCCAACCAAACTATTAGAGATCGACATACCGCCTTTACAAAAAATATTTAACTTGGTGGGCCGCTTCATTTGATGTCAAAAATCGAAGGTCTGAAGTATCTGATGAAGAACCTTCAGCTGGTCTTAGCTGTATTAGAGATATGGTAATGCTCCCTTCTACTATTGGTACACAAAAAAAACGACTATCATTTCAAAAATCCAGCGCAGTAGGACACATTTTTTAATTTAATCTAGCCTATAACGTCCCACTGCTGCGCGAATGCCTCCCCTTCTAATTTTAATACGCATATAAATCAAATTAAAGGAAAACTCTGGATAACACTAGACTGGTTTTTATACTTATACGAGTTAACAAGAAAAAATAATCGAACGATTAACTTTATTCTACTCGAACATTACACAAATGAAATAAACAAATTACACTAAAATATTAATTTCGCTCAAAATTTAGTCAAAATATAATGCATTGGACTAAGAGTGGCGCGGTGATACCAAGGTCTAAGTCTAAAAAATGCCCTCATGGACATTGGCACCTCCATATTCTCTTGTGCCCAAGCCTACGTGGCGCTATCACGAGTAACCACTTTTCATGGGGTGCACCTCATAAATGTTGACTTCAAACTTCAGCGATCACCGAATACAACCGGCTTAGGCGTAAATACCCCGCCAATCTTTCAGAAATTAAATCGTCTAAAAGAATAAATAAAGAACGCGAATGGGCATTACAAAAAACTGTTGCTACTGTTCAAGAAGAACCGGCAAAAAAGATTTGTCTAGATTTCATTACTTTTTAGAGATAAACAAGCAGCTCCATCGAGACTTGGCTGGATTTTTACAGAATGTTTTGGGTGGGATTTGATTTACTTTTACGAGGTTCGAAAATCAGATTACGAGATTTTAGCTGCTTGTACATATGTACGAGGAAAAAAATCTACAGTTGGCAAAAATGTCATGTGTCACAATGACAGTGACTGCTTTGTTCATCAGCTGTTTTTATCACTTTTGCATTGCAAGCAAAGAAAATCACTTTTGCCAATTTTAAACTGAATTAACAACGTGTCAGTGTGTTTAATAATGTAAGAAATTAGTATTATATTTAATGCAAATTATAAAAACCACTTCCATATTATCCATTCTACTATTACAAAGAAAGTAAGTATCTAACAAAGTTTTTATTCATATTAGTGTAATAAGTTTCACAATATTTTTTAAAACATTAAATTCCTGGAAGTTGATCTTTAATAGGAACATATGATAATCCAGATAATCCGTTAATAAGTAAAATTCAAGTAATGAAAAAATACTTAAATTTAAACTTTACTTATAGCTTAAATTAATTATTGTAGAAACTGCTCCAGCTCTATTTAAAGTAATATTGCACAACAGTTTTATATTGACCTTTATTATGGCTTATATTCATTATTTTTATAGATTTTAAACAACAAACGGACAGCTGATAAACAATGTTAGAGTTGCCTCGTATAACAAGAGCTCTAAGGGCTCACACGCAGTTAGACAAGCCCCGATGCCTAAAACCCTTAAAAACCGCAATCCCAAACTTGATAAAACCTATCAATATACAAAGGTAAGAATGTATTTACTTTCTGTAAGTTTTTCTGCATTTTCCCATCCTAAAATTAATAAAATTTCAAAGCCACATTCTCTGTTTTAATGTGTTTGTTAATATAATTGAGAATAATCTGAACTGTTTAAGAATCCAGTTTTGTCTTTTGGTCAGCCTGTCTCAGTTCCAAAATTTTAATCTATTTACTAAAGTTGTTAAAGGCATATTAAGGATTTTAAGTTTTTTATTTATTATATTAAAAGCCATTTTAATGAGTGAATTTGAATTTAAAATTATTATTGCTTTTCAGGTTCAAATCGTATACAGATATTTACAACTGTATCAAACACAATGAACCTGATACAGAAGAAAAGCTTAAAACCCTTTCACTTCTCAAAGAAGCTTGTAAACAGCTCACGGGTGATGTTTCCGATGAGCTCATTGAAGATGCAGCAGTCATGGTGCTTAGAATGTTCCTGGAACAAGATATTGTAATGCTGAAACATTTGAATCAGCTACGGCAAACATTCGGCAATGTGTCATCAACAGTGGTTAATAAAATCTGTCAGGTATAATGAAAATGTTATATAAATGTGTCACATTTGATAGAAAAGCAATATTATGGGCCAGGGTCTCAACTGCCTTACTACAATGTTTGAGCTATTGCTATAGTAAACAATGTTTACATATTCTTTAGTACTGCGCTGAAAGCTTAGATTGCTATAAAATGTACATCAATGCACTCTATGACTCAGATTTTGTTCTATATAAGTACAAAATATGTAAGTGATATCATAATCTATAGCAATAACTAAAATGGTGAATTCAATATGAGACAAAATGTATATAAATGGAACTACTTTTTATTGTGTATAAAGTATTTCATTGATTTTGTTTTAAGATTGTAACTAATCTATCTGCTGACCTATCAGAAGAATCGAAAGAGTTTATAAAAGAAGAATCAAAGCAAGAAACGAAAGAAAATACAAAGTTATGGGGTGAAAATATTCAATGCAATTATATTCCTTTTCAAAGAACGAAAAAGCCACTAGCAAAACTTACTAGCAAGTCTGCTACTGAAAGTACCTTTGTATCAGATTTTTCCATGAAATATACAACTACAAAAAAAGAAAACAATATCCCTGCAAAACCACCTACTCAAATAGGATCTAAGGTAAGAAATTGAATCTCAATTTTTGTGGTTAGATAGTGGCAGCAATGACTGACATGATCTTCCTTGATCAATCAAAACCAGAGAAAGCAACTGATTACTAAATAATGTAGCACTGGGCATCTATGGTTTGAGCAGTTTGGCGTTACCATATTTAGCGAACTGTTACCCACTGTTATTGTCACTGCCTCTGTCGGTCATCAATGCCACTACCTTAATCCTCTTTTTAAAAAACAAATGCTTACATATGAACCCCTCTAAATTGTATTATTCCTTTACAGTATAACAAAACCTGGCTAGAGACAAAAGTTAAAGAGCAGTATGTCAACAGCACCATTTCCAGTGCTGATATCCTACAGTCAATCATTACCCTCCTAAACTCCCCTCGTAGCAATGATGAAATGCAAAATGATATGTTTGAACTGCTTGGGTTTGATAAATTTGAATTTATTCAAGAGATTCTTGAACATAGACAGGATATAACAGAAAGTTTGAAAGCACCAGTGCAACCAACAATTTCTGAAAGTGAGTTATTTATTATTTATTTATTTTACGAAATTAAATGTATTTATCCACTAGATTCATTAATAAACTTATCTCAACTATCTTATACAGATGAAATGGTATCTTTAAAAAATATTAATCTAGCCTAATTATAATTAATAAAAATATGAAATGGCTTTTCAACAGACTTAAAAAAAGATGTTCTCACTTTGACCTGTATGTATGTATATTTGACTGTGATTATCTCAAAAACTTCTAATCCAATTTGGATAGGGTTTAAGGTATATAAAGGCGTATTTATCAGGAACGACAAGTATTTATTTATTTATTTAAACTTCATTGCCATACATATGCAAACGGCGGACTTAATGCCATAGGCATTCTCTACCAGTCAACCTGAACGAGTGTTAGAGACAAATGGTATGGCGATAGGGCAAAAAGCTTTATAATAAAACATTTAGAAAATAACAGGGATTAAAATATATTAATACTTTTATACTAAATTTGATACACCTACATAAACTACACAAATAAAATACATAAATAAATATATACATACATAAAATACAATAAATATAATATATAAATAGATACAAACTATAAATAATAACAAGAAAGAAGATATTGCGTAGTCAGGTCAGGAAGTGTTCATGCACTAGTTTTTTGAACTCCATCTTATTGTTAGAGCTACGAATGTTGAGTGGTAGAGCATTCCACAGGCGTATGGCAGTAACAGTGAAAGAGTATGTAATATATTAGCAGTGTCCCACGGTTTAACCCGCGTAGATCGATTTACCCATCGACCTACGTATGTATAATTTCCAACCATTCTGTAATTCACTAAAAATGGGAAAAAATAGTACCTACATAAACATATTGTTAACCTTTACAGTTGCAGCAATGTTACCAGAAAACAAAATGCCGCAATACCTTTGCCAAGTGTCAGTTCTTTCTGAACAAGAGAAAATATTAGCGAAAATAGTCAGGAAAGAGGAAAAAAAAGCGAAGCAATCTAAGAAGAACGAAGGCGATGAAGTAGATCAAGAAATTAACATCGCACAAATGAGAGCTAAAAGGTAAAATCTCCCTTTTTTATACTCTATTTTGTTGCAAGTCTACAACGATATTAAATACCCTAGCTAGATACACCACGTGCGCTCTAAATGTGTCCCAATTAAGAAGTACTTGAACACGCTGGTACTGTACTTGAACCCGTGCGCCATAGTAATAAAGGCCAGATTATTATTTTTTCCCACAATGATCAAGGAAATTCGTCATACCAGTAGCTCAAGCAACGGCGCAGCTCTTTTGGACATTTCTTCACAACAAAAATGTTAATAGATTATTAAAACATTAATTGTACTTTTGAACAATAATCTAAAGAAATTTTTACTAAACTAAACTACAAAAAATCATGTTAAATATTTTTTTTCTATCTGGCCAGTACAAATCACACTAATATTATATTAGCGAAAGTTTGTGAGTGTGTGTGTGTATGTTTGTTACTTCTTCATGTCTAAACGGCTGGAGTGATTTTAATATGGTATGGAGTTAGCTGAGACCCTGGATTAACACATAGGCTACGCTATACTGCGGGAAAATATCCCTAATAAACCGCGGGTAACACCGCAAGGCACAGCTAGTTTTCTATAAATATAAAAATCTAGAAGTCCAATGCCTAAATAAATACCTATTAATGAATTAAACGATAATAACATTGTAAATGCTGTATTTTTTTTCAGGATAGCGGAACTTTCAAAACCTGTAGTACCATTTTCTACATCAAAATCGTCAAGCAATGTGGATCCCATATTGCAGAAGATCTCATATTTTCAAACTAAAGTACAGTATCCTAATGTATATGATTCCTCAATTAATGCAAAAAATTCTGCTGGTAAGAAAAAAAGCAATGAATATTATTCTGTCCATATTTATTCCAATGTCTTCGATAAAGAACTAATTAATTAAAATATTAATTGTCAGGTTTCGTGTCCGGACTAAAACTAATATTGCCAGAAAGCGCTGTAAGAAAGGATAATAAAGAATATGAAGAAGTAATTATACCCAAAAATGATCCAACGCCGCTTGAAATTGGCAACAAAAGAGTGCCAATATCGGACATGGATGAGGTAATCATTATTAAAGCTATTTCTAGGAGCTCCATGGCGCAGGTGGTCAGCGCGTGCGGTCGTTGAAGTTAAGCAACATTCGCAGTGGTCGGTCGTTGGATGGGTGACCAAAAATTCTCTATCTCGAGCTCCTCCGTGCTTCGAGAGGCACGTTAAGCCGTTGGTCCCGGCTGCATCTGCAGTCTTTAGCGTGCTATTTCCCTTATTAGGAGTTAGTTTCTTAAAATAAATCTGGCTTATGCATGTATAAGGCAATGGCCTAGTAATATATGAATGGCATTAAAATTTTAAACCACCATTCTTTTTCAGATCGGTCAAATGGCCTTTGAAAATATCAAAGAGTTAAATCGAATACAATCAGTTGTTTACCAAACAGCTTACAACACAAATGAAAACCTTCTGATATGTGCTCCCACCGGAGCTGGTAAGACGAACATCGCCTTGCTTACAGTAGTTCACCAAATAAAACAACACATTGAGAATAATGTTATTATGAAAAATAAATTTAAGGTTAGTATTGACTTTTTTTTTTCTTTTCGTATGATCATTATTAGAACGTTTTAGGAATGGTAACTTTAACCGTGTTTTGGATTTGACTATATATAGTAGATTATTAACCAAGGGGATAAAGCAGTGTCTTCTGTCACGGGTGACGATTTAAATCGCGAGCGTAACGAAGGACTCGAGGTTTACTCCCGAGCGTAGCGAGGGTGTTAAAAACTTAAATCACGAGCAAAGCGAGGGATTTAAGACGAGTCCTGAGTGTAGCGAGGGATTTAAGTTCACCCAAGACTAAGACAGCTTTATCACTGAGGAAAATACTCTACTTTTCGTACCATTTGCGAAAAAATTAACACATTAATAACATGAGATAAGCATTTATTAAAAATAATGACAATTAAAAGTAAAAGTTAACATTCGAAACATTGGTCCAATTAAATACGGCCTCGTCGGTTTTCGTAATTTTATTTAATAATCATAACTACACAATAAATGCGTATTCCTTTTTCAAAAAGATGTATAATGCTTTATATACAAACTCAATGGTGTAAACACAGATGTAGTTCAGTATAAATTACGGTAAGTATTCCAAATTTAAATCACATTCTCCCCCTAGAGGTGAATGAAATTCAGTACAATTTTCTTTCCCTGTTTTTAACAGATTAAAAATGACTATTGTTATGTTCGCTTTTTGTGGCATAGAATGTAACTTTTTTGAGCAAGTGGTACGAAAATTAAATTTATATAACATACATTATTTTTCATATTATTGAAAATGGTCCTTCGAGCCGTTTTGAACGGGTACAAATGTGTTTTTAATACTTTTTGTAAAGTTCATTCAATGAGTGCTGTGCGCAAAAACTTAAAAAACAAATATTAATTTAAAATTCAAAAAACACAGTTTATATTTATTAACAACATGTCATATCGGTGCAACGTCAATGCAACTTACTGCCTTCAAATGCCCAATCACGAATGTTGAGACCTTCGTAATCGTATCGCATCGCAAAAGTTTCTATGAAAACTTAGCAGCGCCCCTACCGGACGTAAGAATAAACTGACTTTGGCACAAAATTTTGTTATGACGACACGTTTACGGAGCTGTCAAAGTTCGACCTTGGGCTTCAGCTCCAATGCTTCAAATACCAGCAGTGGCAAATTTTTCTTCTGTCGATTACAAATTTTTATACCTATGTTAATGTTTGTATCTAAATTTTTAGTTATCCAGAATTTTTTATTAACATATTTGGATTTTAAAGTTACATCTTTTGCCCTATCAGATAATTTACATAGCTCCAATGAAAGCTCTAGCCTCTGAAATGACCGCAAGCTTCGGCAAAAGACTGCGTGGCCTCGGTATATCTGTACGAGAATTGACCGGGGACATGAAATTGACCAAAACCGAAGTACAACAGACACAGATGATAGTCACCACCCCGGAGAAGTGGGATGTGGTCACTAGAAAGGGGGCGAGTAAGTAAATTTGTTTTTGGTTGTTGATAAGAGTCAGTTTTTGAAATACAATTGTTTGCCAAACTGGTGCAGATGGCAGGATATTATGTCTTAGTAAAACAATGTCGCTAAATGAAGCTATAGATGATGAAGTATGACTTCTAACGCGCGTACATAAACCATTTTTATATACAGGGCGTCCCACGGGTTTGTCACACGGAGGGAAAGTATACTAAATATTGAAGGTAAATTTCAATAATTTAGTTCCCAGTTGTAGCAAACGATTAAAAAGAAAATGTGGATGCAGTTCTAGTTACTATTAAAATAATAAAATATCCTATCTTCAATATTTAATATACTTTCCCTTCGTGTGAGACACCCGTACGGTATAGGGCATCTGTCCCTGTACATATTTGGTTGCAGAAGTCATCTATAGCTTTAAGAATGTAATTGCTTGCGTTCATTTAATAAAAAAAAATATCTTGATAGTTTATAATGTTTTTCCGATATCGTATTTATTTATTCAAGACCAACAGGGAATGATGCATAATATAATTACATATGTCACAAAACACAGTAACAAAAGTTGCGTTTATAAGTTGAAGAAAACTTGCGTTCATAAAACAAATTTCATTTAAAATACTCTCACTTTTATACAAAGACTAAAACGGCCGCCCGCGATTTCGTACGCGTGGAGTTAGTTAGAAATAAAGGTTCACTGCTTGTTCCCCGTAGGCGATAGCGTGATAATCTGTAGCCTATATGTTGACCCGACTTCTTAAATAATAATCGTGCCAAATTTGAAATAAATCCATGCAGTACTTTTTGAGTTTATCCCGGACATACAAACAGACAAAAGATCTAAAAACTATATTTTTGGCTTCGATATCGATTGTAGATCACACCCCAAGTATTCTTTTAATATAGTTTCGACTTTCCTACCATTTTATTATATGTATAGATTAACCCTAAGAATTCCTTCAGCCGATACTGAACTAGCGTCGATAGTGAAACTGATCATCATTGACGAAGTTCACCTTCTCCACGGTGACAGAGGGCCAATAGTGGAAGCGATTGTAGCGAGGACGTTGCGGCAAGTTGAGTCCACACAGAACATGATAAGAATAGTTGGGTTGTCAGCTACATTGCCCAACTACCTTGATGTTGCTAGGTAAGGAGATTGTTTATACTACTAGAGTACTTCGGTCTCTTCCTTACTCTATAGGTTTTAGTTTCATGTAAACTGGTAACTGAATGAGATGAATTATTTTTTAATATTATTAGTAATCGTAAATTCTGATGAGGTGGTCCTTTTAAATTTATTGCGAGCTTTAGAGTTAACGCGATATTATCACAAATACATTCAAACTCGCTTATTATTCCAGACGCAATCAATATTTCATTCCATATACCTTACAGAAAACAAATCATTCCGTTTTCTGGAATCTGATATTGCAATCGAAAAATTCGGAAGTATCTAAATATCTATACTTATTTGTGACTTAAAAATGAGTTTCATATCTCGGGTGCAGCGTAAATCCATTTGACACTAAAACCGCTCACCACCACAAACCACCAAAACTACTCGTAATTTTTTTTAGGAAAAGCATAAAATCTTGCATATCTCATTCTGATTCTTAATCCTACAGATTCTTAAGAGTGAACCCAAATATCGGTCTATTTTTCTTCGACTCAAGATTCCGTCCTGTTCCGCTGGAACAACAGTTCATAGGCGTTAAAGATGTCGGCGGTGGTGGAGGTTCACATCTTAGACAGGTATTTTCTTCATCAACATGTTATAAATTTGGTCCTTCAATTCCGAAAAATTCGTACAAGTTCAATTAAAATGTAAAATATTGACAAACTAAAATATCTTTAAAGAAATTTTGTCCAGTTTTCATATTATCATGTGTGGCCAATAAACGTGCAAATTTGGTCCTTCGAGCCGGACCTGTGTGGTTCAAGTTCAATTAAAATGCAAAACACCGACGAACCAAAATGTGTTTGCTGTAATGAAAATAACAATCTCTACACTCTTTTCACCACAAAACGTGAAACGTATTACCCAAAGGTCTATTGCACTATATTTAAATACGCCAAAGTTCTTCACAAACTTCTTGAAACCTCTTAACCAAAGATTGTGTTTCGTTCAGATGCAAACCATGAACGAAATATGTTACGACAAAGCCGTAGATATGGTACAAAAAGGCCACCAAGTGATGGTGTTTGTTCATGCCCGCAACGCTACGCATCAAACTGCTATGATATTAAAAGAGTTAGCTCAGAAGAAAGGTCATCTCAAACATTTCGAACCAGAAGACTCGGGCGGGTTCTTGAAGGCTAAAAAAGCCATAGGCAGCAGTCCCAATAAGCAATTAGCCGAGTTATTTGCAGCCGGCTTCGCTTGCCATCATGCTGGAATGTTGAGAAGTGATAGGTAAGTCCGCTAAAGTTTGAGTCAAGTTAGTGACGCTTGTTTAACTTGCGACTAAAAGGAACCGAGTCTAAGTATTTAGTTATTCTGTCCCTTTCGTGCATCCTGTCAAGAATAATGTCTTGCGTTGCTACTTTAGATTTATTTCTTGATCACGTTTAGTTAAACCATCTCTTAGTATCTATAAATTGACTGTCGACCTCATGTTTACAATAACTTCATAGTATTACAATTAACTTACTATTTAGTAAGTCCACAGCTTTAAGGCGATAATCGCCTGCACTTGATTAATATTTGTGTTTTCAGGAATATGGTTGAGAAGTATTTTGCTGAAGGATACACAAAAGTGCTAGTTTGCACATCGACCTTAGCCTGGGGTGTTAACTTGCCAGCCCATGCTGTTGTCATTAGGGTATGATACCATTTTAATACGTTTCATAAAACGATAGTATTGCTAAGGTTTAATTTTATCAGATAAATATATAAATTCATCAATTGCTCATTCTACCATATTCGACTTCTATAGTCATAGAGAATGAATTGATCGACACTCGCAGAAAATTGCCAACTCTCTTTCAGAAGGAGAATAAAATTAGCCTTTTCAGCGAAATGTGATCCGCGCGATCGTTTCGTCTGTCTCACTTTTACTAACGCTTAGTCCATTCTGTATATCTATATCCAGTACCAAGAAAGTAGTTATCTTCACTAGTGTCGATCAAATCTTTGCTTAAACAAACTGTGTCTTCAAATTTTACCCAAAACTAATTCCTTTTCTAGACCTTAAAATATACAAATACTAAGTTTTACCAATGCTATATAAAATTCAACCTTATCATTTCGCTTGCAGGGTACAGAAATCTACGACCAAAGTCACGGCACATTCGTCGATTTGAGTATACTGGACGTTTTGCAAATCTTCGGTCGCGCCGGTCGACCACAATTCGATAGCAGCGGTACTGGAATTATAATAACTACGCACGACAAACTAACGCATTACCTAAAGAGTATGACGAACCAATTCCCGATAGAGAGCAACTTCATCAATTTGTTGGCGGATAATCTGAACGCTGAGGTGAGTATTATTTAAATTCTGTTCATTATTTGGATAGCAATGACACCGGTATTATTATAACTACGCATGATATACTAACGCATTACCTGAAGAATTTGACGAACCAATTCCCAAAAGAGTGCAACTTCATAAATTTATTAGCGGCCAATCTTAACGTTGAGGTGAGTATTTTTTAAATTCTGTTCATTATTTTAATAGCAATGGCACCGTTATAATTATAACTACGCACGATATACTAACACATTACCTGAAGAATATGACGAACCAATTCCCGACCGAGAGCAACTTCATCAATTTGCTAGCGGACAATCTGAACGCTGAGGTTTTTTATTTGCCTGTAATTTGAATTCTATTGTACCAATAATCAAGACAGTGTCATATAGTAAAACAAAGCAGGACTGTGTGAAGTGAATATCCAAATAATACTACTGATGAGTTGAAACTGATGATGAAAAAATGAAAAAACTACTAGTAATGAATAGCAGAACCAAAAAAGGACAGTGTGTGGACCACTCTTCCATCTCCGTATTAGACTTTATTCATAAACAAATGTTTTATTCTTTTATTTTGAACTGACATTGAGAATTGATATTAATATTGACATAAATTTTTATTTAAATTTTAATTTAAATTATATTGAAAAAATATTTTTTATTAAATGATTGATAGGTAAAATGAGAATACTGTAATATGACTGTTATGTTTTAATATGTTAGAATTTTGCATGCTATTAAAATGGCTAAATAGGTTTAAGTTTGTTAGCTTAACATATGCTTTATATGCAAACACCTTTTGTTGTTAAATGCAAATAAAGAGTATTCTATTCTATTCCAGGTTGCTCTCGGGACAGTAACAAACATTGACGAAGCAGTGGAATGGCTCAGTTACACATATCTCTTCGTTAGGATGAGGATCAACCCGCAGGTAATCATTTGAAGTATAGTACCATAGGTGATAATTTTGATTCGCTTAGCTTTTAAGAGAGATAGGGAATAGAGAATTTTCCACTCGAATTGGAGCGCCCGTCTGGGAAAATAACCTCCACCTTACAGAAAACCACAGTATAATAAAACTACCTTTTGGTGATGTTGTGTCTATCGGTGATTGTAGCGGAGGAGGCTTCTTGGAATAATAAACGCAAATCTCGAAATAAATAGTATTAATTACTAAAAGAACAATTTATCGATACGCGCCGAAAATTGAATAGAAAAATAAAAGTTAGCAGCTGCGAACCCGACGAATTTGTCGCTGCAGTACATTCATAGCCTTGGCGTCAACATGCCCTCGGCCTTGGAAGCTGTAGCTTTCAATGATGCTCGTTGGTTTCAACTGGAAGTGGACATATCTTCAAGAATGCTCGCATCACAATTCCAAATGCAGTCGGGATATCGGCAACGCGCGAAATGCCATCGTTGCTAGGATAAAATTTATGAACTCCACGGTTAGGGGATTGGGTGAGGGTAGGTAAAGGTGCGAGTGATATTTTCCATATAGCAAGCGTCTATAGGCTATGCTGGCTGCTTACCATCAGGCGAGCCATGTGCTTTTTTGCCACCCTTTTAACATAAATTGAAGATTTGTCTAGCCAAATCCTAATATAGACTTTATAACTATTAATTCATATACCTTGTCTACTGGCCTAGGTATACGGACTGACCTACACCGATGTACAAGAAGAGCCGATGCTTGAAACGAAACGCCGCGAACTGATCACAGCGGCGGCGATGCAGCTAGACAAAACGCACATGATACGGTACAACGAGCGGACCGGGGACTTGAATATAACCGGTAAGCTATTAATATCTCTTGCTGTTATATCCTAAATAAAATCACTTGCACTTGCTCACACCCATACATACACACACTAACACAGAAAACACACATACCTAACCACGCATGCATACACACGAACACACAAACATACCACACACACACACACTCACACAAACCACACACACACACACACACATACCACACACACACACACACACATACCACACACACACACACTACATACACACGCACTTGCCCATGCACGATTACGCGTATTTATCCATTTTATGTAGTCAGTTAAATCCGGACTATATATATATATATATATATTATAATATTATAAATGCGAAAGTAACTCTGTCTGTCTGTCTGTCTGTTACTCTTTCACGCCAAAACTACTGAAGGGATTTGTATGAAATTTGGTATACAGATGGTCTAGACCCTGAGAAAGAACATAGGCTACTTTTTATTGCGAAAAGAGGGTTAAACGGGGGGGTGAAAAGTTGTATGGGATTGGGAACTACGAAGCCAAACTTTTTGTATACAAAATCTTAACCACTGAACCTAGGAACATGATATTTAGAAGTTTTGGGTGTATCAAGTTAAAAAAATATATTATATTCATCTCCAAGATATTTTTATACACAACGTGACGCTGGCCCCTGTAAGTTTCTCTTGGACATAAAGGACCAATAAATTTTCCTAGGTACTTTCTGCCACTCAATGGAGTACATAGATAGCTTATACCTACTGTAAACAAATATTTTTAATTTTTTTTAAATATACCTACTATACCTACTAATGATTCTTATTAAATAATTAAAAATGCTACCCAAAGATACTATTCCACGCGGACGAAATCGCGGGTAACAGCTAGTTATGTTAATATATGTGTTATGAACTAAAGCTGTTACTTGATCTGCTTTTCGCTATCCAATAACAACCTATTACTTTATCATTTTAAGGAACCTATTGGAAAGGACTGGATCCCTAAATACCGGCTATATTCATAGCCTATCTAGGCTTAGTTGTGCTGTTCTTTATTTGACCACTGCCTTATATAAAAAACTCAAAATAAATTCCATTACTTTTGTCACATAACTTAAACAACTGTGAATTTTATACTTTATTTGTACTCGATAGCACAGGTGCTTATCTCGTTTGGCCTTCAATCGTGAAAGTAAGCAACTTTCGCAATGGTCGGTCGTTGGATGGATGACCAAATAACTTATTATTTCGAACTCCTCCGTGCTCCGGAAGGCACGCTAAGCCGTTGATCCCTGCTGCATCTGCAGTCATTAACACCCACCAATCCGCACTAGGTCTGCGTGCCTGGCCTTATTGATCTTGAGGAATCTCCTTAATCCATGCCCCAGCAGTGGGGACTATATGATGATGATAATGTATCAATGGCGATATTTAATATCGTATCATTCCAGGGTGCTACCATACAGCAAGCACAAAATTAAACGTAGCCAGAAGGACTACTCCCGGTATCTTTTATTACTTAGACTTAGCCTAAGGTCTTGATAACGCGTGTCGCTAGTTTCGAGTAAATTCTGCTTGAAACTGCTTGAGAATTCCTGTAAACGTAACGTTCATATGCTATTGAAGTAATGCTTTGCGTCATAGTTTTTTTTCGGAGCAGCTGAGAGCAGACTCTGGTGCGTTGGTTGCGTACTATGTAATGTTAGTATCTAAAATAATTTAAACTGTAGCAGTCGCGGAACACTGAGAATTAAACAAAAAACATGGACCTTTTCAAAGATTATTCTAAGAAAAACAGCAAGTTACAAGCCTTGTATTTGAAAAATAGAACCACTCCAAAAAACTGAAAAAAACTTATTACCGACTGATATATTAGAAGTCGATACCTTTATCATGTTCTCCCTGATAAACACACGGCTTGGTATCGACTTCAAATATATCAGGCGGTAAATCTTATTTTTTCATTTTTAGTTATTTAGAAGTTGAAATTTACAACAATAGATTTTTTAATTTCTTTTTCCTATAATGGGTTATATACGCTACGCTACCGGGATACGCTACCGGTTGGAAATTTTACACGCGTTGGGCGATAAAAAGATTGCGCTGACGCGCGGGTGATATCATGTGACACTGCTAGTATATTATATACAAAAACCTGCCCTGATAAATACGCATTTATATACCGAAAACCCCCATCCAAATCGGATTAGTAGTTTTTGAGATAATCGCAGATAAACATACAGGTCAAACTGAGAACATCCTCATTTTGAAGTCTGTTAAAAATCATTTTCAATGATCATGTGTCGATTAATAATTATTTATATGATTTTATGTTATCAGATCTCGGTCGTACTGCCAGCCACTACTATATAACATGCGGAACTATGGAGGTGTTCAACTCTATGGTCAAAAAGTCCATGACCCAAGGCTACGTACTGGAGATGCTCACCAGATGTTCAGACTTTCAGCAGCTCAAGGTGAGTTAAGAATGATTTTGAACCTTACAACTAAAATTTTTCAGTCAATTCACATCTAACAAAACGTCTTATTAAACAAAGGACAATGTTAAAATTGGCCTAAGAACCAACACCAATTTGGCATTTATGATAATTCTTAATATATTTTTTGGGATAATTATCAGTATTTAGATTGTGACGGACACTTCCAGATAAGTAAGCTAAATTAAAAAGTTAAAAAATAATCTGAGACAATAGATACCATTTTATGTGTATAATCTATGACAGCGCTGCAAACAAAACACACTTTTTTTTTCTTAATGCCGGCACTTCACTTAGCTATTCGTATTTGCTATTTTAAAACATGACATCAGTCTGTCCTTTTCATACCTGTTGTGTGTGTTTATTTGCGATTGTTTTTTCTTTAATTTAACTATTTCGGCTATCTAATATGCCATCGATGTAACCAAAGAGCAGAGACCTTATTACCAAGTGCTAGTGAACCTGTGCCACAACACCCAGAGAGGATCATACTGCCAAATTATTCAAGAACACCTGATACATATTCACGCTGCATATTTACACAATATACATGTGATATACAAATAAATACCATATACAATATGATACAATTATGTGAAAAATAGTCAATAAATAAGAAGCAAAACTACAGTTTTTATTTTATTCATGATTCCTACCTATCCAAGGTTATCCTAATAGTTATTCTTTAAAATCGCACCGAATAGTAAGAATTGTTGTAATATTAATTCACTTCATACTAAGTTCATAGGTTGATCTATGTTTCATTGAATATTAAACATAACCTCAAAAAGCATTTAGTTTTCCTAATAATTTAAGTTGTCAGAAGTGTCCGTCAATAATCTTTGTTTTTACAGTCATTTACTTGCAATTTCGAACCTAGAAAATAATATTTCATGTTTGTTGGTTCTTAGGCTAACTATGTATGGACGCTGAACAATGTCCTTTGAAATTGATTTATTTTTGTAAGCCAAATTATTTAGATTCTCCGTGATCATGACATATGGGAACAGTGCCATAATTTAGGAGACTCGCAAAAAAACAAGGTAGCAATCCCGTTAATTACCCTAATGTTGAGACCCTGAAAATTTTAAAGAATGCAATTTTTGTAATGACTATTCGATCCTCTCTATTTTCAGCTATTGGCCTTTTTACTCTGTTCAGACAAACTATATTATGTCTTACTAACATTGAATAATTCAATACAACTGAAAGACCCTTCCAACATTCATTTATGAGTAATCAAAGTTATGAATGTAGCTTTGTGTGCTACTTTTTACTGGAATCCCATATCTAATATATAAAATTCTTGTGTCACGGTGTGAGTAATTAAACTACTCCGAAACGGCTCCACCGATTTTCGTGAAATTTTATAATATGCATATTCAGTAGGTCTGACAATCGGACATCTATTTTTCACCCCCCTAAATGTTAAGGGCGGTCCACACTGAAATTTGTTTTTCGGTCAACAATTTTTGTTTTTATTTTTTTATGATACATCATACAAAAATACATGCAACCCTTATATTTCACCCTTCTACCACCAACCCCTATTTTTTATGGCGGTACGAAGTTCGGTGGGACAGCTAGTGATATATAAATCTACGTGTGTGATATTTACGGTGCTATATCTAGAACACAACTTCACTTTATTCACAATACAGGTTAGAAAAGAAGAATTAACAGAACTATGGAGCCTCAAAGATCAATACGCCGAACTCCGTATCGAGGACCCGCCAGAAGATATCCACTGGAAGATCAACATTCTACTGCAGACATATTTGTCTCGCGGGAGAGTCAACGGCTCTTCATTGCAGTCCGATTTGAATTATATCAGTCAGGTGAGAAGCATTAAATGACTTAAATATATATGGTTTTTTAATAGATTTTCAGTCTTACTATATTTGTTTAAAAGATTACAAAAAAATATTTTAAAAAAGTTTAAAATCAAATTTGACTAATTGTAATCAGATGAGCAGTTGATGTATAAATATATTACAATCTAGTCATAATAGTTTCTCTATTGAATTTTAACCTTCATATGTTGCTTTATAAGTTCTTAAAAAAGAAAATCGAGACAAATTACATGCTGAACATTCCATTTCTTAAGATTCGCAATCCGGAAACCTCTGAACCGATATTATCTATAATAAAACTTGAAAAGTATAATACAGGAGGTGGAAGTTTATTTGTTAAATCGATTATTGTATGTAAATTTTATTATCTTATTTTATCTTGCACTACAAATACTTTACTATACTTCGATGAGCAAAAACTCTGCGCTTCCATCTTTGTAGAGAATACTCAAATTCGTGTGAATACGGCTCTTTCCATTTTCTACCTACGATACACTCTAACCTATTTCAGAACGCCGTCCGAATAATCCGTGCCCTATTCGAGATAACGCTACGAAAAAACAACGCCTACATGGCCGCGTTATATTTGAAAATGGCCAAAATGTTGGAATTACAACAGTGGGACTTCTACAGTGACATGAGGCAGTTCAATTGCTTCCCGAACGAAGTTCTGAAGCATATTGAATACCCGATGCTCAAACCTGACCAGATAAGGGATATGGATTGGAAAGAAGTGGGTTAGTATTCAGAAATGAGGATGTTTAGCAAAATTTACATCACCAGTCAGAGCCACTGTGGTATGAGGTCTTTTGTATAAAGTTTTTTGCTGCGAATTAATCGAACGAGCTTTTAAATTGATCCATGGACTATGACGACATACGTGATTTATGAATGAGTAGACCTTTCGTCTCAGTGCTGCCACCTGGCGTCCGTCATTCCAGAAAGCCCTTATTTATGCCGAATTGGTAAGCATAAATGAAACGGGGCGAGTTTACAAGCTACAAGCCAACGAGTTAGCTACAAGTCATGCTTAAAAAATAACAAATATAATTATAGTTGTCTTAAAATTATATGATAATGACGATCTAGATGATATATATCTGATCTAGATATATATGAATGATAACAAGCAAAAAAAATCTTTTTGAACGAGATAATTATAAATTCAATGTAATTTTCATCGATCTCATTTATTTCTGCGCTTATATTTGGGTATATTAAAGGCAAATATGTCAACATTTCTACAACTGTCAAATCATCTACCACTAAAATAACATTATTTTCTTCCATAGGAGATCTAATTAGAAATCCTAAAACTGCGAGACATCTGAAGAAATGCGCTGATGAATTCCCCTTACTCGATATGGAAGCTAGTCTGCATCCCATCACGAGAACAGTGCTGCGAATAAGGCTCACCATTGTGCCTAACTTCAAGTCAGTATTTTCCACAACTGTAATTTTCTGTGTCAATTATTATTATTTTCGAAGCACCAATATGTTTTATGAACCGGAATGTGTATCTGCATAAATGAGAAAATAGTATGAATATCGCTGTGGAGAAATGGCGCTGCCTTACAGCCTAAGCAATATAACAAATTTTGCACGTCCGATAGTGGTCAATGGGTTCGCTGGAAAGCATAGGATTTAAATTCGATTTCTTCCTGGTATTATTAACCAGCCGTGAAAAAATATCTCAAAATGTCAAATTTATATTAAGATAAAGTTTTCTACAGATATTTTTTCCGTTTATCCTATATATTTTTTTTTGTTTAAAAATCAAGCTGTAGCTATATTTTTTCTAGCCATATCTTTTGCCAAAATAAAAAAGATTTAGTACCCCTTTTCGTGGTTTCAACAAACAACACTACTGCTAGAACTGTATACTTTAGTTACTGTCATAGAATTGGTATCCTATAGTATTATTCTTTGGGGAACAGCAGCCGATATTGAAACTATATTTATCTTGCAAAAAAAGAGCTATAAGGGCTATTTATCAGCTAAGTTCTAAAACATCTCTTATAGATAAATTTAAATAAATTGGGATTTTGTCTGTTGCTTCACAATAAAATTAATTTATAATTGTTTACTTTTTGTTCGAAGCAATATTAACTATTATCCCAAACACAGTGACATATATTATTTTAATACAGACAGAAATGAGACACGTTTTACTTGTCTCTAATAGATCACATGTATTTTGTAACACACATAGGTCTTTTTGACTGGAAAAACGTAACGTATATTGACTAGTTGCAGCAAAGTGTAGCCGAGGAGAGAGCGTGGCCGATTGAATGCAAGTCGAGAAATTACCCAACTTTCGTATTGCCAAAATAGAAGCGTGTATGATGTTTCTATAACTTTCATTTATTAAACATCATAATTTACCCGCCTATTAAAGACCTTCATATCATAGCTAAGACGCAACCGCTGGGGGAAGTTCGTTCCACATCTTCCTGACACGCAAGAAAAAGGAAAAGGGATAAATCTCTAGTTAAGAGCCCTTTTACAGAATAAGAATAAAAAATAAAATATCAAGAAACCAAATTAAAGGTTACGAAAGGTTCATTTTTCTTTATAGGTCAAGGTGGACATTTCTGTAATAATATTCCTAATGATATTCTTGATTTGAACCTTCATAAATATTAAAAATACACATTAAGAATTGCTAACTGAAGAAAATATATTATACTGTAAAACAATATTTGAATGATAAAACGGCCTGGTCGTAATTTTACCTGTAGATAATTTGTCAAAAACAATAACATATTGGTTTTACCTTCTTAAAAAGAATTTGAGGAGAACCTTACACTTACTCCCTTTCATATACTTGCTCAATTTGTTTTGAAAATTGTTTCTTGCTATTTGGGGACTTTTCTTTATACTTATTGTTAGTAAATTCATTCATTGTAAATTGTTACCTATTTGACATTATGTGATGGAAATTGATCTCAATACATGTTTGCAAATTTGATGTCACCTTTTAATTTGACTACTCTGTATGGAATAAAACAGGGAGAAAAGCAGCCCTTGCTGAGTTTCTTGCTGGTTCTTCTATGTACAAGGTCTCCCGACGTAGTTTTGCGGATCGATTGGGTATTTTTCGACTTTCACATATGCTTATATACAATCCCTAAACTGTTCTTTTATTTTATTTTTATTTTGAACATTCCTCAGTATTTGTTTCTATTGATTTATGACAGATGGAACGAGAAGTACCATGGCAAAGCTCCCGAAGCTTTCTGGATATGGGTGGAGGATCCCGACACTGACATAATGTACTATCATGAGTACTTCCTTATAACCAAGAAACAGGTAAGTCTAGTAATATTGATTACCTAATAATAATATGTATTGAAAACTAAAGCATTGGTTTTTTTATTTTTGTCTTAAAATTATAAAATCTATCTGATTTCCTTGAACTTGAACATCACGGAAGTCTCCTATCAAAGAATACTACTGACCCTATTTTAAATTTCAGGTGATGACTCGAGAGCCTCAAGAACTTATAATAACAATACCAATTTCTGAACCTCTACCTCCCCAGTACTACATTAGAGCAACGTCAGAAAGGTACGAGAAAACAAAACAAATATTATATCAAAATAAACATAATGTCTTATATTTGTTTCTTAGGTTTTCACGCACATCACTCATTAAATAAAACTAGTTTTTACGGGTTAATGAGTGAAACTTTATTTATTTATTGACGTTTCGTAGCCTTTACAGGCTACGACGTCAGAATCTAAACGAAAATAAAAGTTTGATTCTGACGACATAGCCTGTAAAGGCTACGAAACGTCAATAAATAAATAAAGTTTCGTGCATTAACCCGTAAAAACTAGTTTTATATAATGTCTTATCTCAATTTCTTATAATCCCAGATGGCTAGGTGCTGAAAGTGTGTTGCCACTTACATTCCAGCATCTGATATTGCCAGAAACTCATCCACCGCACACTGGTAAGTCCCATATTCTAAAAGTTATGTAGTTTAAATATTTATTTGGATATTTAAAAACGGCTAATCCATATGACTTATATATTTTATTCATAGTCCTCCTCATGAATTGAATACCTATTAAAATAGTTTTTTATTTCTATTGCAATATTTTATGAAAGACTCATTCTGAGAAAGCAATAGGTACTTTTAATGTAATGATTATGTTATTGTAAAAATCATCCATTTTGCAGAACATGTATAAGGAAAAAATATTCTCAGCGATCAATCGACATTTTACATAAAAATTAAAATTCTGATGCAAAACAGTACATATCTTTGAACCCAAAAACTATTTTTCTTCCTCAGACCTGCTCGAACTACAACCTTTACCAGTGACAGCTCTTAACAATCCTTCATACGAGCTACTATACAACTTCACACACTTCAACCCGATACAGACTCAAATATTCCATTGTTTATATCACACTGACCACAATGTGTTACTGGGCGCACCGACTGGTTCTGGCAAGACCATTGTGGCTGAAGTTGCCATGTTCAGAGTGTTTAATCAGTATCCGAATTGTAAGGTAAATATAAAATTTTGATATATAATTTTAAGTGCCGACAGACAAAATTTCTTTAAGGATATGATACTGTGAAACTGACAACACCTTTGTAAGGTGACAATAAGGACTAGATTCGATGAGTAGAAGTAACCGCTGTTATGGCATAATTACGATGTAAAGTTATAATTATAAATGATACTATTTTGAAGCATTTTTAGATCTTGTTTATTTATTGATGAGAATAATGTTTCAGGTTGTGTACATAGCACCATTAAAAGCTCTAGTCAAGGAACGCATAAAAGATTGGAAAGTGAGATTACAAGAGAAGTTAGGGAAGAAGGTTGTGGAATTAACAGGTGAGTAACCAGGTGGTATCTCATTTGATATTGTAGCGATTCAAACTTTATGGCGGTTGTGAAGTAACCACCACCTGAAGCACCTAGGACTACTAAATTTTGATGGAAAATTTAGAAATGATCCTCAAAATTAGAATTAGTGTGCACGGACCACACATCTGAAGTGAAACTACTTTATTTGTTTCTTAGGTTTTCACGCACATCACTCATTAAATAAAACTAGTTTTAACGGGTCAATCACTTTTAGGTGACGTATCACCCGACATTCGCTCTATAAAGAGCTCCCACGTGATAGTAACCACTCCAGAGAAATGGGACGGCATCAGTCGCTCCTGGCAGACCAGAAACTACGTACGAGACGTAGCCTTGATAGTTATAGACGAAATACACTTGCTAGGGGAGGACAGAGGGCCTGTGTTGGAAGTTATCGTATCCAGGTACGTGAGTTTATTTTTCTTATTCTGCATCATAGCTATTTGTATTAGCAACAATAAACCCTGCTTTTGTCTGATAATTTATCTGTATTTTGTTTAACTTTCACTTCATGTGGCAGAATCTATCTAAGAGTGTAGGGACACTATGTCTTTTTAATCTTGTGTGCTGTAGAGATCCACATCCACCTAGTTTTACAGCTAGTGCATTCTCGTGTCTAGATAATCTCTCTTGATATTTAATACTGTTGTTGGTAATCTCTTCTTTGACGGTTTTTATTTATAAATCGTGATAAATGTATTTGTTGCTTATATAGTGTGAAAGTACGTGAAAGTATACTCTAGAGTATTGTGATAAGGTTTATTTTTATTGATCAGATAACTTTGCAAGACTAATAAGTTAATAGATGTTCTTAATGAAACTGCGATCAAGTGGGCGGGGCGATAAAACTGCGATCAATGCGCCGATTATGGGATTGGTTGGGATTCCCGTTTAACATTATCTATCTCAATGAGTGTATAGCCGAATTATTGAATGCATAATATATTGTCCTCCAACTTACAGATAAAACTATGTAGAACCGACTTTAAAAATGATTATTTTTAAGCTTTATTCCTTTTCTCGGCGTCGTATTATAGAACGAACTTCATCGAATCTCACACGTCGCGACGGTTGCGTATCATCGGACTGTCGACAGCGCTGGCGAATGCTAAGGATCTCGCCAACTGGCTGAATATCGGGGAAATGGGTCTTTACAACTTTAGGCCTTCAGTACGACCCGTGCCTTTAGAGGTGAGTTTATAATTGAATGAACTAAATTACGTTAAACTACACATTTACGTAAAATATCAATGGTATAACAAATACATATAATAATAAATAAAGGCATATACACCATGATTTTTGATTTTTATTTTATTTTTTTAAGGTGTATTTCCGCAAAAAAATCTGTAATATTTTTTGTTTAAATAATGGCTTCACGATAACATAACAATAATTTTGCAATTATGAAACCTAAACAATGTTAATTGTTATAATTTGATTCAAATAAACCTACTTTTGGAATCTACGTATAGTATTCCTTAATTTTGTTACAAAAATGGTATAAACATATACAGGAGTAGCTCGATGGCGCGGGTGCTTAGCGCGTTCTGCTGTGATCGTTGAAGTTAAGCAACTTTCGCAGTAGTTGCTCATTGGATGGGTGACCAAAATTCTCGAGTTCCTCCGTGCTTCGGAAGGCACGTTAATCTGTTGTTCCCGGCTGCATCTGCAGGCGTTAGCACCCACCCGCTTGGAAGGTCATGGCCCAATCTCCCAATTCCATTCATAGGGAAGGCCTGTGCCCCAGCAGTGGGAGCATTAATAGGCTGATGATGATGTTAAATCAAAATTTTTGTATGGGCGTGTAGTAAGTTTACTGTTTATAACTGTTCGCACTATTTTTAATTTACTGTGTTTAAAGTTTCTAAGGTAACTCAAAATGCACGTGGTATACTATGAGCGAAAAATTATTAAAATTATTAATAGTTATACTATTATTTTTATTCCAAAAATACTGGTATTCTTTCAATCCAGGTCCATATATCAGGCCATCCTGGTCGTCACTACTGCCCCCGTATGATGACTATGAACAAACCGACCTTCCAAGCCATAAGGACGCATTCACCGTGCGCTCCTACCCTAGTATTTGTGTCCAGTAGACGACAGACCAGGTAAGTTTTAAAAATCACTATAGACAGTCACATAGTTTTAATTAATAATCTCCCAATCGCCTAACAAAAGTGCATCAAAAAACGTCGAAGGGGAGGGAGTCTTCGCATTGCAGCCTAAGGCTAAGAAAATTCGATAACGGCCGTCAGGGCCGCGGTAGCATAATGGTCAGTGCATTCGCCCGGATAGCAAAGGTGCTGGTTCGAGTCCCGTCTGCTGCCTGGTCCGCGTGGATTTTTTTCTAGTAAACTTTTCTTTAGATTATTACATTTGTTCAAATGAACAGTTTACGCCCCTTTTAATACCTTTAACACCAGTCCATTTTATTAAATTTTCAACCTTACAAGACTTTTTTGTCTCTCTCACTTGAATTGATTTTCTGAGGGTAGATTAATAATACTTATTCCTTCATTATAGGCTAACAGCATTAGATCTTATCGCATATTTAGCAGCCGAGGACAATCCCAAGCAATGGCTTCACATGCAGGAATCGGAAATGGAACAAATCTTAGCCAACATTAAGGAGTCCAATTTGAAGTTGACGCTGGCCTTTGGAATCGGCATACACCACGCTGGTCTACACGAAAGGGATAGAAACACTGTCGAGGAGCTATTTATTAACCAGAAAATACAGGTAAATAAGTAAGGGGTTAGTTTTGCTAACAAATGTGCCAACTTACACAGACAACAAAAATCTCTTATGCTCCTTGTAACAGCATATTTATTATCCAATATTCGAAATCTCTTCCCCCATTTCGAAATTAAATCAAGTTTAAGAAATTGACATTAGATCACATATAAGCACTCATTACTGTATACATATATATAAGAAGAATGAATAAGATGATAGGGTTTAATTTTGTTAAATCACACCTGAAACAATATCTTGTTGGTAGATAACAATTTGAAATTTGATAAACCTTTCATTACCTAAAAAACAAAGTCTATGTAAACCATTCAAGACAAAGTGTCAAGCTATGGATAAACTAATATATACAAAATAAACTATATAGTAGATAATACCCTAGATACACCAACACGAACAAAATCGTGGCCGAAACCTGTTTAAAAGGTACATTGGACGATTCACGGAGCTCCGTAAGATGATCGCAATTCAAAAACAAAATAAAGCATTATTTAAACATTGAAAGTCACTTTTAACGCATACTGTATAAGGTCTTAATTAAAATACATGCGTCAAAGAGTTATAACAGTTTGAAATGCAAGCTCGTAAGATTTTACGACTTATTGCTATATGTGGAAGAATATAGATCTTATTTCTTTGGCTCTGTGCGCAATTCTGGGTGCTCTGTTAGCAAAATAGCAGTTATGGACCGCGAGGAAAAGAGACGGCTATATCACCGACCATTCATTTCAATATCACAAATAATTTCTATTAAATGTTTATAGTAACTAGTAGAACAAAATTTGCTTCAAATGCGTTAAATTAACAAACATTGATTAGATATCTATCGGAAAAACGACACTTATTATTTCCGCATTTTAGCACGGAGCTCTACGGCATCTTGACTTTTCAACGGTCCGCGCGTGACTATGAACCAAGAAGTACTTGAGTCGTGTTCAAGCACTTTTTTATTGGGTCACATTTTGAGCGCACATGTTGTATCTAGGGTATTTAATATCGTTGATAAACTATGAAAAACACCAATAAAATTTTAATGCAATTCTCAAGATCTTTCCGTTCTAATTTAAATTGAAACTCCATACTTTAAGGTCTTAATTTGTACGGCGACATTGGCATGGGGCGTGAACTTCCCCGCCCATTTGGTGGTGATAAAAGGCACGGAATACTATGATGGCAAGCAGAAGCGATACGTTGATATGCCTATCACCGATGTACTACAGATGATGGGCAGAGCTGGAAGGCCACAGGTATGTTAAGAAATAGTATATTTGACATGTTTTAGAAAACGATCTCACGGTTTTTACTAATATACTCCCAGACACATCTATCGGCCCACCCAGCATTTTAAGTTTTGATTTGACGGGCTCTAGCAAATATTAAAGTTACATTAAGCAAAAAGTTTTTACGCAGTTTTGAAGCTGATTTATTAACCATCTATTTCGTGTGTTTTTTTTAAATATATTATTATTGCTCAGCCTAACATATATTTTTGCTATTGACCGATGAAACTTAAGTGGGCCGATAGATGTGTCTGGGAGTGTATTTATGGAGTCCATATTAAGCGGATATTTGTCATTCTGTTGAAATCGAATTTCCATTTTTTCGTGAAAGCGTAACAAACTCACTTTCGCTTTTATAATATTACTAGCTGTCTCAGTGTACTTCGTACCGCCATAAAAAAATAGGGGTTGGTGGCAGAAGAGTGAAAATTTAGGGTCGTATGTATTTTTGTATGATGTATAATAAAAAAAAAACAAATAAATTTTGTCCAAAATAAAATGAGGGTGGACCACCCTTTACATTGAGGAGGATGAAAAATAAATGTTGTTCCATTCTCAGACCTACTGATATATAAAATTTCGCGAAAGTAGGAGTAGTTCAGTTACGCACACTGTGACACGAGAATTTTATATATTACATAGTTAGGATTTCTTTATAATAATCTCATACTCTTTTGATTCAATTAAATAGTACATCATCTTTCTAGTACGACAACGAGGGTGTTGCAGTTGTGCTAGTCCACGATCAGAAGAAGAACTTCTACAAGAAGTTTTTGTACGAACCGTTCCCGGTGGAGTCGAGCTTGCTGGATGTGTTAGCCGACCATTTGAACGCCGAGATTGTTGCTGGTAATGTATATTTATCATTATATTGTTTTAAACTTTCATGGTCACTAACATTATAGTAATATAAGTTATTTACGGGATTGTTACCATGTACCTTGTTTTTAGCGAGTTTCCGATATTTCGGCACTGTTGCAAGCGCCATGATCACGGAGTAACTGAAGTAATTGCGGGTAGGCTGTTATTGGCAGACATATCGGTCTACCCTCCGACGAAGTCTTTTATTGCGACCCGTACCACTGTTCACATTCTCACTATTCACTCGAAACTGTTCTCGACACACAACACTTACAGTATCGGATCGCGACACGACACTTTTTTGATTATTTCCGGTTTTACACATACGAACCACAGGATTCCAGACACTCGACAATTTAAACCCGTCCTCACGATTGAAATTTTTATGTTTTGTTATTTCAATCGCTTCCCTGACCAATCTTGGTATGTAGTGGCGTTCTGTCGAGATAATCTGTGGGTTATGAAACTCAATCCAGTGGTTAGAACCAGAATCAATCAAATGTTCCGCGATGGCTGATTTCTGCGTATCGTTGTTCTTGATTGCTTTTATGTGTTCCCTCATTCGGCATGATACTGTTCGCTTTGTTTGGCCAACGAACTGCCACAGCTGCAATCGATCTTATAGACACCAGGTTTTTCCAAGGGGAAGTTGTGACTAAAGCGATTAGGGTCGTGGACCACAATTAGTGCGGATCACTTTTGTGAGGCTAGTGCCGTATCTACCCTTTTTGTTTTAATCTAAGCTTCCAGCCCGTATTCCATTGTAAATATTGCTTCGGGTGCCCAAATTCAAGTAATGTATGTTATGTATGTGCACCCAAATACGGACAGACGACCAAATGTAATTGAGCCATCAGCTTTAAGGACCAATTATCCTTCCACATACAAAAAAGCTCTTCAACTTTCTATTTTCTCCTCAGGCACCGTACAAACAAAGCAAGACATTCTGGACTACATGACCTGGACTTACTTCTTCCGGCGGTTGCTCAAGAACCCCTCGTACTACAATCTGGAGAGCTTGGAACCGCAAGACGTCAATTACTACCTGAGCAATCTAGTTCAGACTTCGCTTGACCAACTCTCCGACGCGAACTGCGTTGAAATAGAGGAGGTTTGTGACTTCTAAGGCGCTTTGCAGACGACGGGGCGGGGCGGGCTTTTTGTCCGCGAAGCAATAAAAACCGCGTTTGCCCGTCGATGTCTGCGGCTGCCCTCACCGCGTACACAAAGCACATGACGGGCAGAGGCAGTCAGTTCAGGACGTTCGTTCTAATGAATAGTCCATCACTAAAAAGCGCGTGGCGCGGACTGAGCTGACCGCCCCGTGCCGCCGCGCCGTCTGCGTTACTGCATATAAACTGGTTTGTATGATCCACGGCGGGCAGCCGCGGACATGCCGCGCCGCCACTGCCCGCCGGGCACCCAAGGCGCGGTCTTTTTGCCCTCTGTGTGCGTTTGTAGTATAGGATTCACTTTGTGCTATCGTTCGCGGCGAAATTGACCGGCCCGCTCCGCCCCGCCGTCTGCAAAGCGCGTAAAGCTTTTATTTAACTTGCTATATATGTATGTATAATGTTTATCAGGGTCAATTCTAGAAACTGAATTTTAAAAGTGAATTTTAAAGGACCTCTATCGATTGAGATGAAATGGAGACGGTTCAAATTTGTATCGAGGGCTTCGGCAGACTCCATTTTTTTGTGACACGGAGAGCACTTAATTTTAAATCGTTTGGCAAAATACTAGAATTTATATGGCGGACTAGAAATTTTTGCACTTCCACGATATGGGTATCAAATAAAAGGATTTGTTGACAAGAATACGAATAAACTAACGTCAGCGTTCAATCATCTCAGCCTGCCAGAATGCCTGTGATCGTGGAAGTTAAGCAACTTTCACAATGGCTGGTCATTGGATACCCATCCAATGACCGGTCGAACAAAAACTTACTATCTTGACCTCCTCCGTGCTTTGGAAGGCACTTGTTAAGCCATTTGTCCCGGCTGTATCTGCGATCCTTAGCATCCATCACTCACTCACAAATCTCTGGGCCTGAGTGCCCAGTACGGATTGATGGATGCTATGCCCCAGCAGTATGAATATTAAAAAGGTTGATGACACTCTTAGATGAAATAAAAGTTCATATTAGCATCAAATAAAATATGCTCCGACTCAACTACATATGCAACTTTCATACACGCACACTTCTGTGAATAAACATTTAATCGAGCGGGCGAGACAGTAATCTGTACGCTTCAACGCAGCGCGAGCGAAACGGCGACTCCGAGTCGACCGACTGTGTTTTATTTTCTCTCTACAAACGGTTGAGCTGAAGGAGATGTATGGTTGTCTTTTTCGTGATAACAAATGGCGAATAAATAAATAACATTCATGATTACTCGCCATTCTAGAAAAAAATGCTTTTATAGTTTTACGAATGAAAACTGTTGCCGTTGTTGTGCCGAATTTGTTATTTGGTCTTAAACTAATTGTGTTCTTATTAAAACCATCGGAGACATGGTTTTATCTTTATTACACAGAATATAAGCGATATTGAGTGCACATGCAGCGTGTTTGGATGTCAAATTGCGACTAGAGCGAATTGTGCACCACAATTTAAGCGGTACACTTTTAAGCCGCGAGTGCCGTATCCTCCCTTTTTGTTTTAATCTAAGATGATGATAATTTATTTATCAGAAGGAGCTCGATGGCGCGGGTGGTTAGCGCGTTCGACTGCGATCGTTGAAGTTAAGCAACTTTCGCAGTGGTCAGTTATTGGATGGGTGACCAAAAATCTTCTATCTCGAGTTTCTCCGTGCTTCGGAAGGCACGTTAAGCCATTGGTCCCTCCCTGCAACTGCAGTCGTTAGCACCCGGCAATCCGCCCTGGACCCGCGTGGTGGGTCATGGCCCAATCTCTCTATTACATCCATAGGGAAGCCTGTACCCCAGTAGTGGGGACATTAATAGGCTGATAATGATGATTTATTTATCAGGACCAGCGCACAGTCCATTCTACGTGGATGGGTCGCATCGCTTCATACTACTACTTATCACACAAAACGATGGCACACTTCTCTAGAGAACTTCGCGGGGATTTGAACGCTGACCAATTGCTCAGAGTATTATCAGACGCGAATGAATACGCCACTCTACCAGTGCGGCATAACGAAGACTTGCTCAACGGGTGAGGACGATGACTTATTCTGTTTTAACCGACTTAAAAAACCAGTATGTATGTCATATTGTACAGTTTTTGTATAATGCAAATACGAATAGCCAAGTTATTCGTATTTGCTATTTGTAAATTTGACAATAGTGTGTGTTGATTATGTTTTATAAAGGATGAAGAGGACAGACTGATGTCAAGTTTAAAAATGGCAAATACAAATAGCCTAGTAAGTAATCTAAACATTACTAACTGGATGGTGTGGTGAATCACTGAAATGAGCGGGGAAGAGTCTTTATATGTCTCCGATGGCGATGAAGGCGTCACGACATTTCCAAGCTTATACAGACTGGAACTGCAAAACATGGGTGCCAAATTTCGTAATTGTATGTATGACTCTAGTCATAGGCGTAGCTAGGGGAAGGCAGGAGTGGGCAATGCCCATTCTAGAAACGTCTCTGCTGACCCGTGAATTCAAGTTTCATATCATTCATAAATTAATTTCAGAATGATTGTAAGAAAGCCCCTGCGACGTCCATGGATCCTTTGTCCCCTTATATCTCAAAAACAATAAGTATCGCATCCCTCATTATCGCGCAAACATTTAAATTATCATAGCAACTCAACAAAGTTATAGTCGAATATATTTTTCCACTTTTGCTTTTGTGTTAACACATCCTCCTCGTTCTTTTTAGGGAATTGTCTCAAAGTTGCCGTTTACAAGTGGACGCGCTATCTTTAGATTCGTCTAATGTCAAAGCGTTCCTTCTCCTCCAAGCGCATATGACGCGACTGCCGCTACCCAACACTGACTACCTCACGGACACTAAGTCCGTACTCGACCAGACTATAAGAATACTACAGGTGAGCAGTTACTACAGACTTAGATTTTATTAGACGGCGCGAGTGCTTCAGGTAATTGTCTTAAATTTGCCGTTAACAAATGAACGTGTTATCAGTGGATCAGATTGGGCTGAAACGGGTTTTTTTAGTTGTATTGAGATGACAAATTGGTGTTGGTAAAAAGCCCCACTACGTTTCACCTCTTCCATTTCGCGAACTTTTTGACCCTCCTGAGTAGACCTTAGTAGACTACGCATGTCTTTCAAGGCAATTGTCACAAAATTGCCGTTTACAAGTGGACGCGTTATCTTTAGGTTCATCTTATGTCAAAGCGTTCCTTCTACTGCAAGCGCATATGACGAGACTGCCGCTACCCAACACTGACTATCTCTCGGATACTAAGTCCGTACTCGACCAGACTATTAGAATATTACAGGTGAGCAGTTACTACAGACTTAGATCTACTTAGATGACGCGAGTGCTTCAAGGAAATCGTCACAGAGTTGCCGTTTTTGTCTCAAAGTTGCCGTTTACAAGTGGACGCGTTATCTTTAAATTCGTCTAATGTCAAAGCGTTCCTTCTACTGCAAGCGCATATGACGCACCTGCCGCTACCCAACACTGACTACCTCACGGACACTAAGTCCGTACTCGACCAGACTATTAGAATACTACAGGTGAGCAGTTACTACAGACTTAGATCTTGTTAGATGACGCGAGTGCTTCAAGAAAATTGTCTCGAAGTTGCCGGTTACAAGTGGACGCGCTATGTTTCGATTCGTCTAATGTCAAAGCGTTCCTTGTCCTCCAAGCGCATATGACGCGACTGCAGCTTCCCAACACTGACTACCTCACGGGCACTAAGTCCGTACTCGACCAGACTATTAGAATACTACAGGTGAGTAATTACTACAGACTTAGATCTAGTTAGATGACGCGAGCGCTTCAAGAAAATTGGCACAAAGTTGCCGTTTACAAGTGGACGCGTTATCACTGCACCAGATTGGGCTGAAACTTGGTATTTTAGTTGCATTGAGATCACAAGTAGTTTGTTCAAGGGAATTGCCACAAAATTTCCGTTTACAAGTAGATTCGTCAATTTCATTGATTCGTCTTAGATGAATCTAAAGATAAATATAGGAAATAATAATCTATAGGAAAAGCTATATTTTTTAAGTCCGATTTAGTTGCCATAGAAACTTTAACGGCGATACAAATAAGGAGCTGGCAAAGTTTGAGTTTGGGGTATGGTATATGTTTTACCGTCACTTTTTTTTAATAAAATCACTAAACACATCCGCCTCGAACGGCCGGCTTTCGTCTATCTGTCATGCCAAATGCAAAGCATCGTCCTAGCTCGTTGGCTCACAGAATCACCCCTCTATATTTATTTAATTGACCGAGTTTTACAACATGCAATAATTTGTAAATAAAATTTATTTCATCAGGCTATGATCGACACGTCGGCGGAGAACGGCTGGCTTTCCGTCTGTCTGTCATGCCAAATGCTAATGCAAAGCATCGTCCAAGCCCGTTGGCCCACAGAATCTCCCCTAACAACCTTACCACACGTGGACCCCCAACACCTATATATGTTCTCACACATGGCCAGAGATAGTAAGAAACCGTGCAATATGTTGAATGGCTTGAAAGTGGCATGTATGAAAAACTACGAGCTGCTAGCCAAGTATTTGAGAAGAGAGTTTGAGGAGAACCAGATTGAGCAGATACATAGGGTGAGTTTTCGTGATCACTACAGTGCGACCAAGTCTTGTGGCGTGTGGCCGAAATCGGAACAAATACAAATGGCGGACTTAATGCCAGTATGGCATTCTCTACCAGTCAACCGGAAAGAATGTGCAGAGAAAATGAAACGGTAACAGCTATTAACGGGATTGTAACCATGTACCTTGAGCGGTAAAAGTATCGAACGCAATAAAAGACGACATCAGAGGGTAGACCGATATGTCTGCCAATAACATCTACCTGCAAGTTTTTCAGTTACTTCGTGATCATGGCGCTTGTAACAGTGCCGAAATATCGGAGATTCATAAAAAACAAAGTACATGGTAACAATCCCGTTAATAGCTATAATGTAATAACCATGAAAGTTTAAACGAAATTTTAGGAATATGTAATTATGCCTTTTATTTATAAAGGAAGGCGTTAATAGGCCTTTCATATTTCCTATCACTCTTTCCGAGTTATTGCAAATTATAAACTTTTTGTGATTTTAGAGATTTTGTGAAAGTTCACAGTTTACTAAGTAGTAATCTTCACTTCATCACTTATTCACCAGCAGCGCCCTCCTGTCAGTATCATCTAAGTGCCACAAGGTCTAGGTCGCACTGTATAATTGATCAATAGTTCCATTAACAGCACTGATTTATATCATCATCATTTCCCATCAGCCTTCGCGGTGGACATAAAATAAAAATGGGCCATGACATGGCCTACCACGAGGGCCCACGGATTAGCGGGTGCTAACAAAGTTTAACGTTGATGATAATGATGATAGATTAAGTTGATGATAACTCAAAAAAGCGCTAGACCCGAGCGTCACGTATTTACTGAGCTCCGTAAACGAAAAAATGAAGTACCGGTATAATTAAAGTGTATATACAAGTGCCTAGTTTCAAAAGATTCGTCTCGTCGAGACGAATCGATTGGTGTACCACACCTGGGTGGAAAAGTGGAAACAGTGACAAACTATATAGGCCTAAATTTTAAATGCTAGGTGGGCCGATAGATGTATATAATACCAATCTTAACAAAAAAACAATCTACTGCATTATTATGCACGTCAATAATAGTTATAAAATAAAGCATTAATTCGTTGATTTGCTATTGTGTATTTTTGGATGTGTAGTAACAATGAAATTCCATCTTGGAAATTAAATTAATTTCATCGTTTGCCAGGCTATTTCTGACCTTCCTACACTAGACATAAAGTTGATCGTCCGAGGATTGTGGTTCGACTGCGAGCAGGAGCAAGAGAAACGTATTCCGCAACCGTCTTCAAGAGACCACTGGCTCCCTCTACATGCTGATCAGGTAACAATTGTATGAAAACAAGCTATACTTCGACAAGGATCTTTATGAATGTGAGTGACAGTTCAGGGGGGCGCCACTGTCTACTTAAATGACATACAAATTAAGACGATTACACGGGCTATGAAGTTAGCAGAGAGCGCAACCATGCGCAGGTTTCAGTTCAGTGAAACCGTAGATATAAAGAATGCTCCCTTACCAACAGTTTTGTAAAACTGAGCAGATAAGTGTGTCTATGTAATGGCTGTTTTTCTCTCTTTCTAGAGAATTGACAATTTCATACATTACATTTCACAATGTCAGTGTCGATCAATCTATTCTCTATGTAAATTAATGAATATAATATCCCGGCACGCACCTTCATTTTGATTACTGTGCCGCAACTTGCACTTACACAGTCGCCATCTAATTTGAATCGCACTATACACACATACCGACGAAAACTTAGCTTTTCCGTCACTAACCTGATTTAATTGTTGTCGTTAATGAGGCTTATGACAGCGCTTTTCTCGTGTGGCGTAGTATTTCATACTTATTTTTTTTTTGTAGTCGAATGTGTAACAAAGAAAATGCTCTGCCAGCTTGTAACCATGAAAAGAACATAACACACATCGTTCAAATTTTTATTTCCTTTGAATTGTTTTACTACAGCAAATTAGATATGAACTTACCTGTAAGATAATAAAATTAACATAGATCAATAACCAACAGGAATACACCCTAATATTGGAAATCCAGCGTCGCGGTGGCAACCCCAACAACGTATTATGTCCAAGGTTCCCTCGCGGCAAGAACGAAGGGTGGTTTGTGACCTTAGGTACTGTGGAGTACGGAGAACTACACGCCTTGAAGAGAGTATCGCCTAAAGGGACATCGCAAGTCACTTTCTATACGCCTTCGCAACGAGGTAATCACATAAACCTAACTACCTACGCAACCCAAACAACATACTCTGTCCAAGGTTCCCTCGCGGTAAGAACGAAGGGTGGTTCGTGACCTTAGGTACTGTGGAGTACGGAGAACTACACGCCTTGAAGAGAGTATCGCCTAAAGGGACATCGCAAGTCACTTTCTATACGCCTTCGCAACGAGGTAATCACATAAACATAACTACCTACGCAACCCAAACAACGTATTTATATCCAAGATTCTCTCACGGTACGAACGAAAGGTGATTCGTGACCTTAGGTACTGTGGAGTACGGAGAAATACACACCTTGAAGAATCGCTTATAGGGACATTGCAAGTCACTTTCTATACGCCGTCACATCATCATGAAATTTGTTTGTAATTGCGTTCCCAATATTTATACCAATTTTTAGCTTTGTACGAAAATATAAACTTTATTGGCTATTTAGTATTTTGACTAATTGGATTGAATTGAGAATGGAAAAGATATTCTAACATGAGCTATTCAATATTTGGGTTAAACTTTGGTTTTTGCCTTTACTAACTGCAATGTTAGTGGTCAATATAATTGTTGATAATAAGCATACTTAGGTATTACAATAGATATATATCTATTGTTTTATACTTGTTTTAGTATTTTAATAAAGATATTTCTTTCAGGTCGCATAATATACACTGTTTATATCTTGAGTGACAGCTACATGGGCTTGGACCAACAATATGATCTACAATTTGAAATATTTGATCCACTCCCACAGGAGAAAGTAGAAAGAATATATGACACTACTGATAAGATCCTAATAGAATAAAAATCATAATTTATTGCATTAAATTATTTTTATTATTTTAATGTTTCATTTGGCCTTACTATATTATTAGCAAATATCAACTGTTACTGGTGAATAAAAAAAATATATTTAATAGATCTGTCTATACTCAACATCTACTTAACTTAAATCAATGTAAGAAACATTCAAAGCTATTAATCTGAGGCTAATGATTTTATTGTATATATCTTAGTAGCCTTCTGCTTTATAATAAAATAAATTTTGAAATAAAATAACAAATATCCTTAAGAATACGTAAAACAAACACAGTTAACTGACAAATTTACTGATAAGTCTGCTGGTTAAATCAGTTTCCTTTTGTCCAGCCTAGATTTCTAATCAACTAGAAAATACAAATCATAACAGATTTAAAAAAAATGCTTCTCAAAATTGTTGATTACTGGTTTTACATATTATAGTCTCTTAATCATGGACAACAGATCTTTTTGGGGCCAAATATTTTACAAGCTGTTAGTTAACACAATGCAAAACGTTGATCCTATTTACACAACTGTTTCATGTTAGTACTCATGATATGGCCACAGTATATTTATTAAATAGGTGTAATAAACACTTAAAATTATTAATGACAAGTAGTTACAAGACACAAGAACAAATAAAATGTGCCACTTATTTTGACCTATAGTTAGCAGTTGCGTCTATCAGACAAATATTTGTAAATATGTTAAAGATAACAGGTTTCTAGTGCTCAATGATAGCAGTTTTACAATTATACAATATGTTAATTATCTATCATTCTTGTGGAGAATATCTATACTATATTTTTAATAAACAGGGAACAATAAAATGAGTGGTCCTAAACTTTAAGAGTGATCAGTATGAGCTTGAGATGCTGTTTTGTATGAAAACAAAATCTCAATTCATATATCAATATGAATCAACAGGCCCTGCCAACACAATCAAATATATTTTCAAAAGTATTTACAATATAATGAAAATCTGTTTAAGGACTTTAATAATATTAAATTCTAATTTAAATGAAATGGAAACAATTGTATAGCTCAGTAGTAGTTACACATAACTATGTCAGCATATTCTTATGATCAAGTTCACACAGTCTAGAATATGTTTTTTTGTCTCTTCTTAAGCCCTAATAATCAGTATCTGAACAAAGTAAAAAATAATCTTTGGTATAACACTCAAACAATATCACATATTGTAGGAGTGCCGGCACAATGCTATTTCTTCTTTTTCTGTTCATACTCTATGGCTCGTGCCTCAGAAATGATTTGCCTTTCCCTAGTAAGTATTCCGTCTAATTGATCAGTAAATGCATCAAATGAGAATTTTGTTTCAAATCTTTTTCTACCAGCATTACCCAACTTTTCACATAAATCCTGGCTCAATATTAACTTTCTCATAGCATTAGCAAATGATTCATTTGTTGGTTCACACAAAAAGCCAGTCACATCATTTACAATTGTTTCTGTAGGCCCACCACTATTTACTGCTACGACAGGCTTGCTGTAATACATAGCTTCCAAAGGAACTATTCCAAAATGTTCATTTGATGGTGTATAAATTAGAGCTTTGCAGTTGTATAATAATGAAACCTTCTCATCATCTTTTGGAGATTTTAGGAAGGTTACTTTGTCTTCAATATCTAACTCTGTAGCTAAGTCAGTCAGCTCAATAAAATGTTCCATATTTTCTAAATTAATTGGGTCAAACCCTCCAGCCATTATCAAATGTATTCTATTCCAGTCTTCTTCATCAACAATATGTTTTAGATATTCCAATGATCTCAAAGCCAACTGAAGATTTTTCTTCCTCTCGTATCTATTAATTGACAAAAAAACATACTTATCCGTACCAACTGGTACAACTTCTTTCAAAGGCTTTGGTGAAGTTGTCCTGAAGTATTCAGTATTGATTGAGGGATAACAAATATCAGGGACATCTACTATTTTCTGGAATGCATCTTGATAAACTCTAGCTGTGTATTTACTATTTACCAGAACCTTGTCTGCTTTAGCAGTAGTGAATTCCTCTAACCAGTTGAGTGGGGCACGATATAGTTTCTTCAATAATCCACCTTCAGAAGTTAACAATTTATCAGGGTGATGGCAATAAAACACTATGCGGAATGGTCCTCTAGCCATCTTCAAAAATGGAATGCACAATGATATGAGATCACAAAATATCAAGGTAGGTTCTTCAACTGGAATCACATACCAAGCGATGTAAATAGCAGCGTACACCATACGAGCATAGGCACAGGCAGCTTTGAATTTTCCAAGTATAGAACGTGGTATCCAGTCGCCGACAACTGAAACTGGAAAAGTTCCATCCCTAGTTTCGGCAAAGCAGTGAGTAAGATCATGATGATTGGTATAGAAAGCGACTTCGTGGCCTTTTTTCTTGAAAGCTAATGCGGCATCCAACACAAGGCGTTCAGCTCCTCCAATTCCCAAGTCAGGATGTAAAAATATTATTTTCACCATTTTTAGTGTTTGTTTCCATTCAAAACCGGCATAATTTTTATTTAATTCGTTTTACATTCACACATCAGCGTGTAAGGAAATATTTTCTTTCAAAACAAGTTAAAGGTTAATATTATCAGCTCAGTGTTACAGTCGGGAAGTCGCACTCGTCACTTCCACAGGTCACTTCTAACCAGTGCTGCCAACCCGAATTTTAGAAAATTAGTAGATTATGTGCCAAATGTTGGTAGAAGTTGGTAGAATGTAAAATGCAAAATTGGTAGATCTACCACCTCAATTTATAAGATTTTTTAAGATTAAAAATGCATGCAATGCAATCCAGAGCACACTTCAGATCACACCTACATGATTTGCAATAAAAATATCCGTCACCCTGAGTAATTTCTTGAAGCCAACCTGCAAATTCTTTGTCTTTCTCCCATAATTTTGAATATTTTTGGTCATAGTGCCTATTTCTAGGTTTTCGTGGCGAAGTTCCTAACCTAGAACTATCTGCATCGCTTTCGCTGCTGTCAGAATCCATTATATAAATAAATGCACGCAACATAGAACAAACAGCAATCAGCACCGTTAATACGCAGTTAATTTTTACAATAAAACAGGAGCAAAGATTCAACATTGATTCCGCAACAAACCAAACGGGAATAGGAGGCGTCCATAAATTAAGTGAGATGTTTAAGGGGGGGAGGGAGTCGAGTCAAATCTCATCTAATCTTACGTTGGAGAGAGGGGGGGTCGAGTCAAATATCACGCAATTTTTTTTCTGCTTGAAACAAAAAAAAATATACTATTTTGGTCCATTTAATCCAGATTGTACATGCTTAAAATTTAATCTTAAGCGTAATCGTAATACGATTAAGATCATTCACTATTTCGTTCGAAAGAAATAACTCTCAGCAATATTGATTACTAGTCTAGCACGAAGCATTTTTTTTTCTTTTAGCAATAACAATCCAATGCATTTAAGTAAGAAACCCACATTTTGAAAAATCTCACGTGAGATTGGGGGATGGGGGAGGGGGTTGAAAAAAATCTCACGACATCTCATCAGGGAAGAGGGAGGGACAAAAAATTCAAAAAAACACCTCACGTAATTTATGGACGCCCCCATAGGCCACAGTAGGAATAGTAAAATATGGGCGCGAAATTGTGCGAATGCCGAACTGATGGCGAACTGTTGCTGACGTATTTTTTTTGTGGTTTATGGCCTGGACTCTATGTATGCTTGACGCATCGTTGCATGGCTCACGTAATACATCGCAACGTCGCTCGTCGATATAAAAATAATTCAAAGTGGTGATATGTCAAACTAATTAAAAAATAGGTAGTTTTTAGGTCTAGGGTGGTAGATAGGTAGACTGAAGTGAAAATTGGTAGATCTACCAAAAAGTTGGTAGATATGGCAGCACTGCTTCTAACTAAGCAAATAACCACAGACTAATAAGATAAGAGAACAAGAAAATAACTGAGGCACGTCTTTTGTGACAATTAAAGCGCCTATAGTCCAGTCAATGAAGGCTTAACTTTGCCATTTTGAGTTGATCACCTGCAACCAACGCGAAAATTTCCGCAAGGGTTCGTAGATTAATATACTAAAATTGCAGGGTGCTGAATTGACGGCAAAGGGTGAAAAAAAAATGCGAAATGGTGCAAAAACGAGTTTTTCGTCAATATCTCGCGACTGGCTGGAAAATAAAAAAAGTTCCTAGTACAGAGTTGTAGAAAATTTAATTTCCTACAAAAAAGGTATCAACCTATTTTCGCGTATCTCCCATAGTTTTTGCACAAAATGCAAAAAAAGGTGCAAAATAAAAAAAGAAAAAATATTGTTAATGTTTTTTTCCCCTTATTTAAACGATCCTACAGGTCAAATTCAACAATCACCAATTACTGAAATATTGAAGGATGAGCTTTCGGCAGTCCACTGAAATGAAAATTGTCTACCGAAATGGTAAAAAATTACCACCGAAATGATACAGCCAAGAACATCGCCTTTGTAGTAAAAGGGTTCCCTATTTTGAATTTAAATAAATTTCCTTATTCTTTGTAAATATTTTTGTTCGTTATTTTATAATAAGAATTATTAATTAAGAATTAATTAACTGTAACTCCTATTAATTAATATTCCTATTTAAAATTATTAATAGTTACATTTTCAAAATAATGAACAAAGCGCGTTTAGAAAGCGAGAAGTTTATTAGTTAGTAAATCGTCCCCTTAGTGCCAAAACCGATTATCTGCACTTTTTCACCTATAGAACTTTCATAATACCAATCGACCCATCTCATTAAGCCGCATCTACAGGTAAAACCCATTATGCTCTACGACGCATAGTTCCTGAAATAGCAAATAAGAATAAACAGAATAACTGCAAATTATTTCCAAAATTCTTGATTTAAAACCTAATAGACCCATTCAAAACACTTAAATTTGTAAACGTATTAATTGTTGAAACCAAGTTTCGGATTTAAACTCATTTTTCATGTAGACACTTAGAATAAATATCCTGTGAGATTATTCCACTAAAATAAGTTATCCCACGGTAATTAGCTTTGACTGTTTGAATTCTACCAGATATTTTAATTTTACTAGATGAAGTAAAAACTAAAAAACCTGTCGCTTTTTGAAAAAAAAAATATAGAATATTTGCGTTATATTTGAGGCAAGTAAAAGAAGATACCGAATTTCAATTTGTTTTTACTGAATAACTTTAATTTGACGCTTTATAAATTACTTTAGCTGAAATCGATTATCAGTGCTTACTCTTTTCTTCCACTGTAATTTATTAGCGTTAGTCATCGTTACTTTAAAATTTATGCTTCAGCTAAAACCAGTTATCCATGTTTAACCGTCTCTTCCGTACACAGATCGTGCGCTAGCGAGTGAGTTGCTCACTTTTATTCATTCATTGTTGAATCGCGCGCTGAGCAAAACTGTTATTCTTTTGTTTTATTAATCACTAATAAACATTACTGGGTGAAGTATTCTGCGTATTTAGTTTAAAATGATAGCTACTAAGAAAGATGACGAAAAATATAGTTAAAAAAACAATATTTAGTTTTATTATAATATGATAATTTAATTTTACCATTTCTTTTTCTTTCATCGTGTTCAGCGCAAAATTTACGTTTAAAACATATATTTGCAATATGTATTATCATTATCATATAATAAAATTTAAATCATTTTTTTGTCAAGATTATTATATGAAAAAAGGAAATAATAAATAAAAAAATACCCGAAACATATTAATTAAATCCTAATGAAGCATGTAGGGGTAAAAAAAATACACGGTATTCCTCAGAGCGGCAGTGCAATGTGCTGATTTATGATTTTGAATTTTTTTCTTGGTTAAGTAGGTACTTCTCAACCTTGGCAAAAAGAATTATTAAGTAATGGGCTCTAAATCCATAAAATAAAAAAATACGAAGTGGCATTTTATCATCACGGTGACCTGTTCTAAACCCAATTCCTATCTTAAAATTACTACCCCTGTAGTTACTTTTATTTTTTGGATTGAAATTAACTTTTATATGAATAATATATAATATAGCCTATCAACAAAAACCACTATTATTTGTTTACCTTCTTTCTTATACATATAACAAGCACTCAACTATTGTCCTGGAAAAAGTTATCATTTCCATGGACAGTAAGTTTTTGTGAAATAGGTTCGTTTACATTGTGTTTTTGTATCCCGCTTGTCAGTGCTCCCTTCGAGCCAGGCCGCCTTAGATGGATCACACGCACGCGCAACAACGTCATTGTGGATTCCCGCCAAATAGTAAGCATACCATTTCAGTGATATGGGGACAATTGATTCGGTGGACTGTAATGCCAATAAGAGCCCAGGGAATGAAAGTATCGCCCAAATGATACATACTGCCCAATGAAAGTTTTTAGAGATCCTGGAGTCAATATAGGTATATTAAATAATTTCGGTTTGTGATGTACGTTTACCTAGAAACTGTAGGTTCGATATTTCGGATGCAGTAGTATTTCAATCTAAAATTTCTAGTTTAAAAATGTATATTAAAGTTAAAGCAGATGAAGTCGTTGGCGGCCGATTGTATTTAAATATAAAAAAGTGTAAAAAAAAAACTGTATTATTCATCTGTACTTGACTCGCTCGCACATGATGAGTCATCAAAAATGGTTCCTGAAGGCAAACGATCAGATTGGCTTGTTTCTGTAGCCAAAGATCTGCATAATCCATGGTACTCCTCAGATAGGACACCTTTGTAGCAAAAATAAAAAAAAATTATGCTATAGATTTTTTTTTATATATAGGCTCAACAAATGACTCCACCAAAGGTTAGGTGACAGAGGAGTCTAGACGCGAAGATAGCTGGTACAGCAGTATTACTTGCCGCACCAGCTATCCTCATTTTGCCGGCCTGCAGAATTGCTACTTCACACACGTAAGAGGGCAAAGTAATCCATTTGCGGATAGTCTGACAAAGAAATGAGTTACCAAATTTCTTTGTTCACGTTGGAATAGTGGGAATAGTAGTTCACAGTAAGTCGGTGGCAACGTAAGCCAGCGCGTGTAGACTTCTGTAGGAAAGGGGGAGGTAGGTTAAGGGACAATAACTCCTCAAAACATGCGCCAATGTATAGACGATAAAACGCGCTTAATAACGCCACATCATGGCGTAATTGAAGAGGCTCGAGGTGTTTAGTCACCTCCTTATCGCCAATAACCTATCCAAAGCTAAAAAAAAGTACTTGGCGGAGCCATCCACCAATATTCCACGCAAGACCGTACATACGTCATGTACAACAAGCACAGTTGCTCAGGCGTGAAAAAACGTTAGTTTAACCGTGAAAGCGCAGACCTGGGCTTTCTTGGCAATGAACTCAACTAAGTTCTTGTTACTGCATTCCAAAATGCGGTCCAAATCTTGATTGAGTCCAATGACAAGATTCTCCCGTTTCTCTTTGGTTTCTACCTGTCCAGCGGCTGCGTATCCAAAATATCCCGCATGCACTGTATTATCGTCTGCATAGCAATGAATATTCTCAAGCGGAATGAAATCATTGAATGCAGCAAAAAGAGTGTAGGGGATAGGACGGAGTCCTGAAAAACACCGGCATTCACTGACATGAACTGCGAACTACATCCGTCGCCGTCCGTTGACGTTCAT